TATATTAGCAGTTTAGTTTGAAAGCAACAGTCTTAAAATAAATTTCATATATTTATTACATATCTGAGGTCGTATAATGAAGATCCATTTATCTCAAAAACTAGAGTCAATTCGCCAAATCTAATATTTTTTTCGTATTCAGCAGACTTTATATACCCAAAATCGACTCTCAAAGTGGTTACCGCAGATCCATTGTTCCCCGGTGTAATTAAACAGTAAGTTTTTACTTGAGTAAGTACCTAGATTTCTTAGATTTCCCGGTAACACAAAATTATTCTTCACGCTCTAACAAAAGTTTTTGCAATAGATATTTACAATACACGTAAACCTTTCTCAAACCCTGCAAAAGATCCGTTGCATTTTACAAGGGATTAATAGTTATTTACGTGGCAAGCTTAGTAAATTAGCCTTTACGGGCGAGTCGGAATGTTTGCAGTAATCCGGTGAGCCCCAGTAAAGGCTAGTTGCAAGCGAGTCGCGTACAACGTTTTACTTCCTCTTGCTGAAAATCCTGAAAATGAACAACTTTGGCATCTCTAGAAATTTTACTTGAAATTACAGTCATAGAAATTATAGTCATTTTTCATAGTTTGCTCCGGTAACTATGGAAAATTGAATTGTTTGAAAATAACGGGACTGTCAATTTGTAAATTCGATTAATAATTTAAATAGTTTAATTTTGTTTCTGAGCTCTGTTAATTGTGGAATTCGATGAAGATGAAGAGTTTGAAGGTGATTTCAACGTTAGTATTAGCACAGTATTAGTGAGATTAAGAAAAAGGCCGACGCAGCGAATGTGTGTTTGATTCCGGTGCTGTCATGATAAAGTTTTACAGGCACGGTGCCTGTAAAGCTGCCACGGTAACGCTTTACAGGCAGGGTGCGTGTAAAGGCTAATTTACCGAGTTAGTTCAGACGACAGTAAACGAGCTTTAACAAGACAAGAGGAAGTAAAATAAGTATTATATCCGTCCAGTGGAATTTACATTCGCTGCATATGGATATTCTAGATGTACTATTAGTTCATAAATTTTATTGTTTGGTGATATGTATAAAGGCAATTCTGTTTCAAAATGTGTTAAAATTTAAAGGTTGTTAAAAATATGATTTTTTAAATAATTGTATAATAAATCTAGTTAAGAAAATAAACATTGTTTTTATGTTGAGTACTTATTATAATGAAGCTAGTTCCTATAATATAATAGGTAAAATAAGCAACGACATAAATAGTAACAACCTCTTAAAAAAATAACCAAAATGACAATTTATTAATGAAAAATCGTATGTAACAAGGTGTTTACGCTCGTATTTTTTAATTTTTAAAGTGTAACTACAAACTTCGTCACTTATCTAAGTATATTAAAATTGTTTTTAATTCGATATTTACACCTTACCTGATTGCTAAATTTATTGCAACTTAAAATTCAGAATACAAAATATTTAGTTTTAATATAAGATAATACTTCCGGATGAATTTTACCTTGCGATCAATTGACGCTGCGATAAATTTATGTGCGATCAATTGTCGCTGCGATCAATTGTCGCGTGCGACCAATTGTGCTGCGACGAGTTGTTTGCGATCAATTGTCGCGCGATCAGTTGTTTGCCACCAGTTGTCGTAGAATCATTGGAATCTGATTATCGTGTGTTTGATTTTATTAATGGAAATTACGAACTTTTAAATGGATCGGATTTCTAAGTTAAATTCATCTTGTAAACCTGGTCCCGATGGTGTTCCAAGCATTCTTATTAAAAACTGTAAATTTTCACTCTGCGCGCCTGTATTTACTTTGTTTCAGTCATCCCTGAAGGAAGGTGTCTTTCCTACCAAATGGAAGAATAGTTACATTATCCCTATTTTTAAGTCAGGGCAACGTAACAAAATTGACAATTATAGAGGAGTTTGTAACCAGTCGGTAATCCTAAAATTACTTGATTCAATTGTCTCTGATCAACTCCAATGATTCTCTAAATCGATTATTCCTCCGGAGCAGCACGGCTTTTTTGCTAATAGGCCTACGTTATCGAATCTTTTAGAGTTTCGATCTTTCATAACTCAAGCATTTACTGATCATCTGCAAGTTGATTCGGTGTATACCGATTTTGCCAAGGCATTTGACCGTGTTAACCACAGGTTTTTACTTGCTAAACTGGATAAGCTGGGATTTAAAAATACTAATTACAGTTAAATATTGGCTGTTATCTTTTTTGTACGATAGCAGTCAACAAGTTCGTATTGATAATTTCATTTCTACTCCAATCGATGTTACATCAGGGGTTCCGCAAGGTACTCATTGTGGACCTATATTATTCTTAATATTTATCAATGACATAATCGACTGCTTCCAGTTCTCGAATTATTTAGTTTTGCTGATGATTTGAAAATCTTTAGGATCATTAGAACCATTCCGGATGTTGAACACTTGCAAATGGACCTTGACAGATTATTTGCTTGGTGTATCAAAAATCAACTTTTCCTGAACCTAGATAAATGTTATACTATCTTGTTTTTAAACATAAAGTCGAACATTAATTTTGATTACCAAATAAACATACAACTTCTGAAACGAGAGTTTGAAATTAAGGATTTGGGGATAGTCTTCGATGCGGCACTTTCGTTTAAGAGTCATTTCATTACTCCTACATTGCTAAAAAAGCCTTAAAAATGTGGGGGTTCATATGGCGAATATGTGAAGACCTATCACCGTTGTCACTAAAAACACTATATTGCTCATTAGTTCGATCGAAGTTAGAATATTGCCCTCTGGTGTGGACACCAATATATAAAGTTGATTTGGACATACTGGAAAAAATACAACAAAGATTTTTGGGTACTCTAGAATTTAAAGTTGGTCATGGGCATATTATTGGGGACTACAGCTGGGTTATGCACACTTTCAATATACCACCGCTGAGTGTTAGAAGACGTGTATACGATGCTTGCGTTTTACATGGATTAATTAATTAATTAATAATCCTCATCTGCTGTCCGAGTTGTTCTTTATAGTGCCAGTTTCTAACAGTCGTTTCATTATAATTAAGTTTTATACCACGAATACTTTTTGTGTTGAATTATGTAATTTTATGTATATTAATTTCATTTTTTTCTTTTTTTGTATCAAGTTGATTTTTGTAAAATGGAATTTCGTAAAATAAATAAACCTAAACCTCAACCTAAAACATTCACGAAAAGTAATTTACTGTCAAAATATTAATTAAAAAAAAATGGTCGAAGGGTAGTCGGATAAATCTCGCTTCTTTAAAGTAAACGAAAAAAATGTAATTATCTCAATTTCTAACTACATGCTTAATTCGACTATAAAACTTTCAAATATAAGTGTTATCGGTTAAAAGAAAATGAAGTTTTATTGATTTTGTCTCTTTAATCCAGAAGACAGACTTAATTAATTCACTATACATAATTTTTACTTCCCCGGCGTAAGCTAAAGAAGTATTGAGTCCATCGGACGACTGACTACTTTCACATTTTCTCGATGTGTCATGAGTACAAAAACATAAGTCTCCCATTTCCGGCCGTCTGTCTGTTCACCATCCATATATGTGTAAATAAATAACATGTAAATAGTAAAACGCTAGCTTACCCTCAGGAAACAAAAATTATAATAAAGTTAAATGTTCATTAAAAAATTCTAATTTAACCTAGCTAACTTACAGCGTCGTTTCACCATGCTCCCACACCCACCACCCAATCAACAATAATGACGTCTGCAAGATTTCAAAGCATTTGATTTTACATTTCTTGATTTAATGAATAAAATAAATTGACTAATTGATTAATTTTTTTTTCACCTTGCATAAGCAAATCTAAAACATTTTAGATAGGATTTATTGGGCAAAATTTTTAGCTGACGTCATCAATTTTTTGGAGGGGATAAGCAAATATACATATTTTGATAATTTCGGAGATTATTATCTATCGAACAAAAATCGACTAGACGCCGGACAAACAAACAGACAAACAGATAGACAGGCAGACAGACGGGAATGGTGTACTCTAGGGGTCATGACCATCGAGAAAATATGTCGCCCGATTGACTCGATTACAATATTTCTCTAGCTTACGTTCGGGAAGTAAAAATATACTATAGTTATAGTGAACCAAGACCTATAAGGTTATATGGCCATCATAAAAGTAGTTGACCGCAAATAAATACCCCCTTTGTGTGGTTCGCACTAAGCTTACCGGTTGGCAATAAATCATCTTCTAAAGACTTCTTACTCATATTTAACAGGGCCGGCTTTCAAAGCGAGTGGTTATTTCGGAACCCTCAGCGGCTGCAGGTAGTAAAGAAATAGTGGAGTGGTGGATTTTCATATTTAGTGAAAGCCGCCCCTGAACGAAACCACAAGAGCCGGTCGAGCTGCAGTGGACACGTTATTTACGACCCTAAAACCTTTTCTATTGTAAACAACTTAACTTCGACACAATGGGATGATTTTATGATGGCCATATAACCTTATAACTCTTGGTTCACTATACTGTAATGGATTTTAAATAGTATTTTTCTACTAAAAGTGTATAAATAAACTGTAATAATTTATTTAAAAAAGTCCATCTAATGTCACTGGTCAAAAGTTAATGGTACTACAAACAATCAAATACCGCTAGGATGAACACAACTAAATATCACTTTATTTGTTATGAGAATCTGTGTGCGTAGGGTTAAACATATCGATACGTACAATATAAATTTCAAGTAAGATTTATTGAACAATATTTTAAGATTTAACAGTTAAATTTTTGTTTAGCTTTTACCATTAACAAAATATACTTATAAAATTTTACAACAATAAATCCAGTTGTGTCGTAGATTGTCTGTCTAATAAAATTACCAGCAGATGACAGATAATAATAGATAATAATCGAAAAAGGGGAGATCGATTTTTCCTACTCTTAGTTGTGAAACGTCGAGAAAAAGTAATCATTCGTTAAAATAACCCTGTTAGAATCAGCTTATGCTGTGGACGTAAAAGTATAATAAGAGCAAAGCTGGCGTTTTATTTTAGTTCTGCAAGTATTAAATATTACAACAATGGTAAATAAAATTAAACTTCTTAAGATACCAGTATTTATAATTTAATTGATCAAAATGCCCCTCCAACTTCTTGCAACCACTATGCTTGTAGACAAACTGTCAAGTTCTCCTCTACAGTCTGTGATTTTCCTTAGTAGCAAACCCAAAGAAACCAAGCTAGAGAACAGTGAGAGTTTCTCATTTTTTTGATAAATGATGGTTTGATGAATGTAGGATGTATATAAGAGGATTTTTGGTTGGTCTTGTGTTGTCGTAGAATATGGGGTTTGTATTATCTAAAACAGAAACGTGAGTTGCTATAGACATTGCATACATCAGTAGCGTTTTTTACATTACCAAAACTTTTCTGACAATGTTAAGAAAAAGCGAAAAATACAGGGTGATAAAGGAATGACGGATAAGCTCGATGATACGTTGTTAAGAAGGCTCTGAAAAACTCGAAAAATGGTTAAAAATATCCCTGTACTAAACTTTTCAAAATAGGAAAGTTCAAAGTTGAACAAATAATAATTTAATAATAATTTTCTAGAATACGATCCACAGCGTCATTTTTGACAATCTTTATCGGAATTTTAGATTGTCGATTAAATTCACATTAAAACATCAGAATTGCGGAGTTAATTTTTCACTTTTGAAGTTTAATATTTTCAAAAATTTGTCCAGGGATTTTTTTAATACATTTTTTCGAGTTCTTCAGAGTCTTCTTAACAATATAACATCGAACTTATCCGTCATTTTTTCATCACTGTGTATCTGTAACATCTCCTGTGTAATATCTTCTTTTTCACTGTCTAATAAATGACACTACCAGCTGATTTCGTTCTTCGGTTTCGTAATTTTGTTCCGCGAGGTAATATTTAATCTGTTGCGTAAAAAGAGGAGAATATCCTTGGCAAATAGCGTTACGTTTACTTACCAAAGATATTCTCCTCTTTCTGCGTCAACAGTACCTTCTATGCGGGATCTTTGCTCCATTACCATTTATCAAATACTGAAAAAAAAGCACTAAGATATAATAAATGTAAGAGTGGAAGAACATTTTAGGTAAAAGTATTGAAATAACACAATTAATTGAAACTTTAATTTAAAAATCATAAAATTTAATGACTGAAGCAAATTTTTGTGTTGGCAATTCTGAATTATTGACAAGAATGTTAACATGTCCGTTCACAATTGTCAACTATGACACTGCGTTACAAACGTGATGAGACGGCGACTTGCTATCGTAAATTTAATTTTGACAATCAGGAATGCCATCATAAAATTTTAAACATGTTGCCAATCTGACAAAAAATTAAAATCATTAATAGTCACCGGCTATATTAGCTAATTAAAAACTGCTTACGTGACACACTTTAGGTAAATTATGAATTTCTAGTGGAACATAAACAAGACTGTTCTCCTTCGTAAGTTTGTCTTGTGATGAAGTATTCTGGTTGTAAAATATCCTCCTAAAATTTTTTTGACATTAAATTATTCAAGGTAACGTAAATGTAAGAGATTTTTTTACAACATGTATACGTTTTCCTTGAGAAGAACTGATTATTTTAGAGACGTAAATGACCACAGATCTAATAATTTAAACGAAATTGTTGAAAAATCTGAAATGTTGAAACCCGAGTGAATATACGGATCGGAAGATCACCGGGGACTCGGGTGTCTAATACGGGTCTTTAAAACGATACATAATAATTAAATTGATATTAAACAAATGAATATTACAAGGTTAGTTGCTAATAGATAAAAATGGTGTCATAATTTATAACTGAATTTTTTTTTAAGTATAAAAATGTTTACTTTATCATATCTTTCATAAAAAAACATAGGTTATTTAATTCGTGTCGTGCTGAAAAAAAAGTAATAGAATTTGTTGTTTTAGTAAAGAAAATATTAGGTTACTTTACCTACAATACGCAAAGTACCTACACTGCTTCACACTGCATTTCTTCTTAAAATGTGCGCTGCACAGACTACGATTGGTTGTTCCAGCCAAACAGAGTAGATCTTTTGTAAGAAATCTCAATGTAAAATGATAACCTACCAAAAAGGTCGCGCTATTAATAGTTGAAAGTCATCTTTAATCAATAAATTTACTCAACAGAACTTTTCTCATCTCTAAAACCCAAAAATACCACAAGCGGGTTAGAAACAATTTTTTGAAGAGATTTATTTAATGCCTTTCGAGATAGCGTTTCATCAATTTTGATATGTACTGAGGTCCCCAAATTTATAAGCATATTTTTACAGAATTTTATTTCGTTAACTTTTACTTGGACAGCGGACAGACAGACAGACACACGGACGGCCGGAAATAGGAGATCTATGTTTTTGTACTCATGCCACATCGAGAAAATGTAAAAGTCGCCAGTCGCCCGATGGACTCAATTACATATTTCTTTATCTTACGCTAGGGAAGTAAAAATTATGTGTAGTTAATGGATTAATTAAGTCACTCTTCTGGATTGAGGAGACAAAATGAAACAAATTTCATTTTCTTTTAACCGCTGATACTTGTAATTTGAAAGTTTTATAGTCGAATTCTTTCGAAGTATGAAAACAAACAGTCGAAGTTAGGCATGTATTGAGAAACTGAGAATATTTACAGTTTTTTCGGTCACTTTATAGAAGTTGCCACAAAACGAAAATCTTAAAATCGAATTTTATAATTTTTTAAAGAAGCGAGATTTATCGGACCAACCTTCGACCAATTTTTTTAAATTATTATTTTGACAATGAATTATTTTTCGTGAATGTTTTCTTACAACCAGAGATAACCTTCTGCCATCGTAACTTATTTTTCTGCGAAAGGTTATCATTCTGGGTTTAAATGTTCTATTTATTTTGCTAGTAGGTATTTCAAATGACTTAATTTATAATTTGTTTATGTAAGCATACCCCATTCCTTTATTTCATTTTAGCACAGGGCTCGGTTCAATAAAGCTGTACTTTACATTGCTTACTATGATTAGCTTTAACCAGAATGCAGTAAGTCTGCTTTGTATCTTAGTTGGATTTGTTTACTCACAAAGAAATTTAGGTATGTTGCCGTTTTGGAATTTATTTTATTTTTAAATAATCATTTAAGACAGTGCCGTTGATGATTTTTTTTTATACTTGAACAAAATATTACATTTTTTTTTGTAGATGATGTGTGCACTTTAAAATCGACTGGTTTACAAGGCGTTTGTAAATTTATTAAAGACTGTCCAAGTGCACAGGAAGAGCTCCAGCAACATCATGTACCTCAGATTTGCAGTTTTCACAGATTCGACCCGATAATTTGCTGTCCACCTGTAAGAAAACCAGGCGAAATAAGTAAAAAAAGTATGTATGAATAGATATTATGCGATAAATTGGACAGAGAAATATTTAGATGTGACCTTCTGTGTTAGTGGTTACATACGGACACACTAATTATTCTATAAAATAGCTCTAAACCACTATTCTATAAAATAGCTCTAAACCACAAACGTTAGGATTACCTTAATTTGATTTGAATTTGCACAATATATGTATCTAACTAAAAGAGTTACACTATAATTGGTATAAACAACACTTAATTTTTATTTATCTCGCCAATGGTTTAGGTAATGAGCTATTTTACTGCATGAGTGGGTTAATATTACATTGTCACTGTTATAAATGAACATTGAAAACTATTTACTGGGTTTTGAATTATGTTTGCTGTGCTGACAAGAGTTTCTTATATTTATATATTCCAAGTCAATTTTTGACGACTTAAAATTTCCATTGAAATATTATGAGAAGAACACGAGAGTTATCAAAGTCTGTGAGTCACGAAAGAACGTAGCGAAATACTGTTAAGTTAAACCATGAAACTCACAAAACCAAATAATGAATGCACTGCTGGTCCAACCTGTACTGTACAGTTTCTTTCCCTTAAATTCGCAAATCGATCGTCCGGATGCTTTTATGTCTACTTCGACGTTTTATTGCTGTGTTCGTTTCAAAGGATTTCCACTCTAACAATGAACTTCAAATGAGTTGACTATTTTTATTAGATTTTTCACATTTAATTTGTACTATTTGTATAGAAAAGTGTTCTGTAAGAGCTACAATTTTTATTTTAGAATGTGAAGAATATTCTGCATATGTAAATGAAACATATATACCTCCAATCGGATTAATAGATGCTGAGCCAGTAACAAGTTATGAATGTGGTCATACAGTGGAAACACTTATTGTAGGTGGAACAGAAGCTCAGCAAAAGGAATTTCCGCATATGGTAACTCAAAAAAGTGATAACTGTGGATTAAAAAGCGTGTATAAGGTCTTTACGACTAGAAAAATGCAGCTACACTATGTAGCTTTCAAATGAAGAGTATTACTATAAAAATTTCTGTGTCATACATACTTGTAATTTAAGAAACATCTTCGCGTTTTCATATTTTCTTCTTAGCAATTAACGTACTTTTGTATAATTTGTTGTTAAAAATTCTAACCTTTAATTTTTTGCTTTTGTTTCAATGGAAGTTTACGATTTAACGCAAATACCAGTTTTTCTGTAAAATACTTGTAGGCTGCTATTGGCTATGGATCTAGCATTGAAGATGCAGGATGGTTTTGTGGTGGAACATTGTTGAGCGACGAGTACGTATTGACAGCTGCGCATTGCTTAAGTAATCAAAATTGGTAAGTTAATTACTTATTTTAAGTAGTGACATGGAAATTTTTAGTTTTATACTTTACTTGACCTAGGTGTTGAGCCAGACAACTCACTTTGTCCGTCTTTCTGAATTAAATTTGAATTTTTTTATTACTATTTACGGACAATAAAATTAAATAAAATGATTTTGAATTTTACAGGGGAGACGCTAAATGGGTAAAACTTGGCGTTACCAGGTTAACCAGCACCCATAGAAAAAGACAACATATAGAAGTAGCCGAATTAATACCGCATCCTAAGTACAAGGCAGCGTCTCATTACTATGACATTGGATTACTCAAATTGAAAAAGTTAGCTAAATTAAATTCATTCTCACGACCAGCATGCCTATACTCAAAAGAAGAGATTACAGCCGAAAAAGCTATAGCAACCGGTTGGGGTCAAACGGAGTTTGGTGGAACATCCAGTAATGATCTGCTCAAAGTAACTTTAGAACTCACTGATCCTAATGCCTGTACTCGACTTTATAGACCTTGGAGAAGATTACAAAATGGGATTTTATCTGAGAGCCAGATATGTGCTGGGTCCCAACTAGGAAATGACACCTGCCAGGTATTAAAATTATTTGTTGCAAGTAGACTAATTACAAATGTCATCTTAATGTGTAGGTTGTACTTGCAATTTGATGATAAAATTAAATTTTCGAATTTAATGCAATGAACACAATAATATGACACAGTTTGTACGATTGTGGTTGATTGTATATTATGTTACAGGGAGATTCAGGAGGACCCTTGCAAATATATCATATCCATGACGACATTAAATGTATGTACGACATTATCGGTGTAGTATCATTCGGTAAAAGTTGTTATGGCAGTCCGGGGGTCTACACGAGAGTATCATATTACATAAAGTGGATAGAGGATATAGTTTGGCCATAAATTTGCCTATGTAGTCAAAATACTCAACTAAGAGAAAGTACAAATAATAACTATTAATATAGTGTAATAAGCTGAACATTCTGAAAATTTTGTTGAAGTTTTATTAACACAAAAAATATAAAAATTAATAAAATAAATGTGTGAATGAGGTTTACTAGATTTTATATTTTTGATGACAATAATCACATTAAAGGTAAGCGAAAAACCCCACGCCTCCCGCTTGCCGGGCAGGTAACCTGACCACTAGACCAAAGGCCACTTATCTTTCCCCGCTTACCGACGTGTTATTGTGCCGCCACAACATAAAAGTAATGCAAATCTGAGTACATGGTAAAAAAATCTTCGAACGACTGTAAGTGGATCACAGTAGTATAATTAAAGAAGAAAAAGAAGAACGTATTTACGTACATCCCGAAAGTGAGCTGTTTTAATTATAATAACGACATAGAAATTATTATTTAGCAAGAAGATCCTATGATAATGTTTTCTTGACATTGATGGAGAATTTGACTCTTGACATTTTTTTGCCCAATGTAATAACATACCACGTTTATGGAGATAGTAATTTGACAAATAACGCTGAATCGTTTTTATTTGAAAGCGCTATAGTTGTGACCTCAACACTGTGGATATTATTTTGTTTATTTTTCACTTGTCAATTATAGACTTATAATGCCATTGAAAATGGTTGCTATTAACAAGTTTATAATATCCTAGGACATTATAGGCAGATTAACGGGTGTTATGGTTGTATAATGCCCGTTCAAATAATTCTTTTGCTTTTGTAGCTTTTTCAACAATTTTTGATGGAATCTCCATCGTTTAATTTAAACCTCACAAATGACACTTAAAATAAATGTACATGTATTATCACCTTTCTAAGAAATCTCCCTTTGCTTTGACAATCCAATAGTTGAGCAGTTTTATATACGTTAGTTATAGCCTTTTCTATTTTCTTTTGCATTCGATTGAAAATCTTATTTCGTTATTTGTAAAATCAGGGATCCTTCTTTAAGGTCTCTATGTAAAATGAGTTAATTCCATGAACGTGCTTGAAACGGGTACACGTGAAAACGTACGTATAGATAAGTATGTTTTAATACCAGACGGTATAAAACGTCAAAATTCGTTTAATACGTCTTTACATTACCGCCGGTGATTCATCGCCAGCGGCGGCGTTCGCAGAAAAAGAAGAGACGAGCCTAGAGATTCTTCGCAAGTCTCTGTGTCGTGCTCCAGGACGATCTCTAAGCAGTGATCGCGAACTCTCCGGAAGGAACACGTTGGCTGTTTAAATAAGGACCACGGTCGGGAGTGGGCAGTCTTGTGTAATCCACCTGTATAGTTGGCTCTGTATTATATATAACCCCATCATTCCTAGGAGGAACATAGGGCTTCCACAAGTGTTCTCCATCGGGTTCTGTCCTTCGGAATAGGTTTTATTTCATTCCAGATCTTGTTAAGGGCATTTGTTTCTTGTGTGATTGTTCTTCTCCATGTGCTTTTTGGACGTCCTCTAGTTCGCTGTCCTTGGGGGTTCCAATCAAGTGCTTGTCTGGCTACGTGATTTGACGGTTTCCGAAGAGTATGGCCTATCCAGCCCCATTTTCTACGTCTGATTTCTATTTCTATTTTTTCCTGTCCGGTTCTTGACCATAGCTCCTCGTTTGTTATGCGGTTTGGCCAGAAGATACGTAGTATTTTAAGTAAGCAATTATTTATAAAAGTTTGCAGTTGACTTGCTATGTTCTTTGTAATCTTCCAGGATTCCGAGCCGTATAAGAGAACTGACTTAACGTTCGTATTGAAGATGCGCAGCTTAACCTCACGGGAGTAGCTACCTGACTTCCAGATATTGTTGAGCATGCCAAACGCCCTTCTGGCTTTGTTAATTCTTGCTCTTACGTCTGCTTCTGTAGCTCCAGTCTCGTCGATAATACTACCTAAATAAGTGAACTCCTGTACTTGTTCGATTACCGTGTTCTTCAAACGTAGTTCTCTGTCGTCTTGAATTCGCATGCGCATCTCTTTTGTTTTCTGGATGTTGATCTTCAATCCTATCTTCTCTGCTTCATCGCTTAATCTGGTTAGTTTATGTGCCATCGCTCGTACGGACTGTGAGATGAGACAGATGTCATCTGCATATTCTAGATCGCCGAGTCTGCTTACCATGCCCCACCGAATACCGCTTGCTGTGTCATTTATTTTCTTCATGACATGGTCTAAGCATATGTTAAATAGCAGTGGTGACAGAACACATCCTTGTTTTACCCCATTTCTTACTGCTATTTCTTTACTGATATTGCCCTTGTGCATCACTCTGCAGTTTGCGCCGCGGTACATCTCTTTTATCAGGTTGACGATCTTTGCAGGGACTCCTCTATTTTGCAGGATTTTCCACACTGCCTCCTGATGAAGCGTGTCGAATGCTCTTTCGAAGTCGACGAAACATAGTGCTAACGATGTTTGGAATTCTTGGGATTGTTCTACTATAAGGCGTAAGGTATTGATGTGGTCTATAGTTGATCTGTGTGGCCTGAAACCTGCTTGTTCCCTTCGTAGGGTTGGTTCTAGTGTATCCGCGAGTCTGGTATGCAGAATGGTCCCGACGAGTTTGTTTATTACATTGAGCAGTGTAATGCCGCGCCAGTTCTTGCATAAGGTTAGGTCACCTTTCTTAGGTAGTTTTACTATGAGCCCCTCTTTCCAGTCATCAGGGAGTTTTTCCTGTTGCCAAACATTTATTATAAGTGGGTAAATAACGGTCTCGACGATGTCCGGGCAATGTACCAGTAATTCTGGAGGAATATTGTCTGGGCCTGCTGCCTTGTTACATTTTAAAAGTTTTATAGCTTTCTTGACCTCTTCGTAGCTTGGTTCAGTTGTGGGAATTCTTGCATCGTTTGAGGGATTTGGAGATTCACTTATATCTTCGTTTCCATCGGGGAGGGTACTTAAGCTAGTGTTGAAGTGTTCATACCATCTGTTTATTTGGTCAGTCGTGGAGGTGAGATTTTCGCCATTTTTGTCTTTCACAATTGAGCAGTTATTGGCGAAATTCTTATTCGCTAGTTGCCTGGTGATTTTGTACAGTTGTCGCGAGTTGCCTTGGACAGCTGCTGTTTCGGCTTCTTGCGCTAAGTTTGTTACCCATTGTCTTTTGTCTCGTCTGGCTAGTTTCTTCACTGCTTTGTTTACTGCTCTATATTCTTCCCTCAGTTTGTTTTTTTGTTCCGTTGCACTTGTGTTGTTCATGCTGTTGTGTATTACCTTACGAAGTCCGATTTTGTCCCATGTTTCATCGGTAATCCAGTCTTTTCTGTCGCCTTGTTTCCTTCCCAAAATTTGCTCGGCGGATGCGAGCATTGCTTTTCGGGCCGTCTCCCAACTTTTCCCACTTTCTTCGTCTATGCCTATATTATTAGTTTTTTCTAGGACCGCTTGTTGGAATTTTTCTGCCATCGCTTCTTCCTTGAGAAGGTCAACGTTGAATTTTGGTCTACTTAATTTATGTACATGGAGTTTTCTCATCGTGTTTAGTTTGATTCTGCTAATGAGCAGGTAGTGGTCGCTTGCTATGTCCGCGCCCCTGTAGCTTCTTACATCTAATAACGTTTGTCTCCATCTGCTACTAACTGCGATGTGGTCTATTTGATTCGCGGTGCGGTGGTCGGGGGATCTCCATGTCGCTTTGTGGATATCCTTATGCGGAAATAATGTACCACCTATAACCATTTCGTGACTGCTACATAAATCAATGAGTCTATCCCCGTTATCATTTTTCATTCCCAATCCATGTTTTCCTATGACGTGCTCTAAATTTGTGTTGTGGCAACCTACTTTCGAATTAAAGTCACCTAGTAAAAAGATTATGTCTCCTCTTTTAATCTTGTCTAGCGTGGCTCTCAACACGTCGTAGAAAGTGTCTTTGTCTTCCACAGCGGCTACCTCTGTAGGAGCATAACACTGGATTATACTGACTTTCTTATGTTGTGTCTGGATTCGTACGGTGATGATTCTGTCATTTATCGGTTTCCAGTCTATTATGGAGTTACGTATCTGCTTGCTTACTAGAATGCCAACGCCGCTTTCATGTTTCTCACTCTGATTTTTCCCAGAGTACAAAAAGATGTCGCCATTTCCTGTCACATGTTCTCCAGTCCCTTTCCAACGTGTTTCGCTGAGCCCGAGGATGTGTATTTTATACCTGCCCATTTCTCTTGAGACTTGTGCCAACCGGGATGGTTCTGTCATGGTGTTCACGTTCCAGCAGCCAATTCGTATAGCCTGATTCTTGCGGTTTGTCGTCGTCGTAGGGTCAGTCCGGTTATTTCTTGTGGAAGTTTCTGGAATCAGTTAATTTAGGGCGTACAGATGATTGGTCTGTAGCGCCCGATTCTGGTGTCGGGATTGCCGACTGTGGCTTCCAGACAAGCCCTAAATGCATATATATATATATTTTTTTTTTTTTAATTATTATTTCCTTTTTTTCTTCTTTTTTTTTTAATTTTTTTTTTTTATTCAATTTTATATAAGTATATCATTTTTTTTTTAATTTTATTTTGTTTTTTTTTTTTTTAAACATTTAAACTAAGCTAACTCGGTTTGTATATCTTTTTTGTTTGTGATTTTGTTTTAAATCCCTCTTCTGGTGAACGTTCGGCTGCTGTGCGCTTTTTAAATCTTATTTCTTCCTGGTCTACTTGGTTGAAGTGTTTAATTCCGTATTTAGCCCCTTCGATTATTAGTTGGTCGTATTTTAGGAATGCTTTTTTTCCGTTTTGCCGCGCTACTTTTAAGTGGGGAATTAATCTTCTTCTTATATCTTGAACAGCCTTAGTGATATCGTCGTCTATCCAAATGTTGCTGTCTTTCAACTTTTTAGCGTTTTTGTATATTTCAATTTTTTTGTCGAATGACTGCAGTTTAACTAAGATCGGTCTTATTTTACCTTCTCTAAACTTACCTAATCTAAATGTTTCGTTTATATCTAAACTGTCGTTTAGTGAAACACCGATTCTAGCTACAAGCTCTTCTATTTTCATTTGTAAGTCGCCAGTGCTCTCAACTGCTGTGTCTTCCAGGCCTTTTATTACTATGTTTCTTTTCCTGGTCTCTTTTTCAAGATTTTCCAGCCTCTCTCCCTGCTCAGCGATG